CCTCAACAGACCAGTGACGATAGTTTCGAGCCCACTCCAGTCTTTTTTTTCTCATGAGTGAAGTCAATTTTGGTTTCTTGGCTGAACGATGACACATCAATCCCTCTTCCTTCAGCCTTCTGCGAATGGTCCGGTCTGACACAGCAATACCAGCTTAATGGATAAACTTAGTCAATACATTTTGTGGCTTTTTTCTTTTTTCCAGGCATATATTCCGGATATTACGATCCGCTCTTGGTTTTGTCTTTCATTTAGAAGGTGGTCTCCTCGGACCAAACTCTTCCCCTGTATCAATTTTTTTCTCACTCGCATTACGGTTTGGTGAGAAACCTTTACAATTTGTGCAACTTTTCGCTGAGAATATTTTGTATTCTGTAAAAGACATCTAATTTGACTAACTTTTGTTGGTGTCATATCTCATTTTTTAAACCCATAGCTGAAAATTTAAATTAGGAACTTTAAAAAAAGACTACACTTTGGTGTCTTTACATAAACAGAAAAAAACAACATAAAATCCTTTATTTAAAATTAATGACTTACTGATTATTATTAAGTTCAAAAAAAATTAAATAAAGCACAGATGCTTGAAATTAAAATAAATCATATTTAAACTTTAATCAGCCAGAGTTGCCAATTGATAAAATTTTTATTTAATGTTAACTAAGAATAGAAATATCTTGACATGTAACACAAAAAAAGTCATATTTATTTTCTCATATGCGGGTTTAAGCAAAATATTTGAAATAAATTGTAAAAAAAACGTGTGGTCCTTATGTGATGGCCGACCACTGTACTTTAAAAATACTAAACCATTGAGAGTTTTGGCAGTCAATCTGGAATGTATTTTTGTATAAAAATTTCCGGCAATGGAAAAAACTTTTTTACAACCCACTGATGTAGGCTTAATGGTAAGAAATGCTTTTTATAAAAGCTACTTGTTCTCTTCCATTTCCTTCAATAATTTTTAGCTCTTTTTCAAGTTGCAATGACTGGTGGATTTGTTTTGGCGGTGCTAAAACTGTGAACAACGAGTTATAAAGAGTGTCTTCACCAAAAGATGCACCTTTCCCCTGTGCTATTATTTCAATTTCAACGTGCATTTTCGATTCCAGTTCACAAAATAAACGTTTGTATATTTGTTTTGCAATTAAATTTACATTATATTTAGATGAATATGATAAAAATTCATTTAATTTCGGATATTGGCTATTGCGAAGGAACATCAGTAGAGAAACTATAGATGTGCTTTGGCGTTGAATGATTCTTTTAATTAGCTCTATACTCATATTTAGAGCCGAAGTTGTGCAATTTTTCAAGTTTATTTTAAACAAAAATCATAGTTCCTTCGGAAGCAATCAAATTTGCCTTTTTGCTACTTAACACAATAACAGCTTCTGCTAAAGGTTCTGTTGTGGATTACGTCTTCCAAGATAAGTAGCAAAAATTAGCGGTTGTATCTTAATATAAACATTAATATATTTGTAATGATGCGGTCTTCTTAAAGATACTGGAAAATTACGCCAACGTAATTTTAAAGTTTATAATATAATATTTTGAAGAATGGCTATCGAAACCGCTATTGGTTTCGATAGCCATAGAAGTTGAAGCAGCGATTGCAATTAAAAACGAAGTGGTAAATAAGTTGGATTTAATAAATAAAAACGAATACGTCAAGAGATTTGAGTATGAAAAACAATTTATGGAGCACCAGTTAACAATCCAAAAAGAAGCGGAACAAGCTTCATTGCAGAAACTTCAAAACGAAGAAGAATGGTATCTAAAGAAGTTAAAAACAAAAGAAACATTGCGTAAATCTGTTGGGAACAATAACGAAGCTGCTCAGCAATCCGTCAAGCTTTAAAAGTATACTACTACAAAATTTGATGGCGATTATAAAGACTGGTTACAATTTTGGAATCAATTCACGGCGGAAGTCGATAACTCTAACATATCAAACATTAGCAAATTCAATTAATTAATGGAACTCGTCGAAGGAAAACCCAGAGAGGACATGCTTGGTTTACCACACTCATTGGAAGGATACGAAGAAGCAAAGCGTATATTACAAGACATTTATGGAAAAGATATTTGGATTCACAAAGCGTTGATTAAATATCTTGAAGGAATGACGGCTATACACAATACGCACAAAATTAAAGAAATTCACGATTTTTATAATAAACTTGCAAGAATAGCGCAAACATTAAAAACAATGCACAAACTTCAAACTGCTCAATCATTTGTGCATTCATTAATGGATAAACTTGAACCGGTTCGTGAAATACTCACACAAAACAATGATGGATGGGAAGAATGGGGACTGGAGCAACTCGTCAAAAAGTTACAAAAATACATCGAAAGAAATCCATTGAACTCCGATTTCAACACTGAACAAATAAAATACGATAAAAAGAACCCAAACGAAACCGAATCAGTGCATTCAAGCAACACAATAGTGGTAATTATTATAAATCAATGAAGACAAGTGTTGGTAAAAATGAACTGTGGGTTGCGAAATCACAAAAGCGAAGGTTGTATAAAAGTGTTAAACGTTGCTAGACGCAAGGAGATTTTAAAAAGCAAAAGATTATGTTACAACTGCATTGGTTATGGACTTTCCGCGGTAAATTGTCAATCAATAGGATGCAGAAATTGTAACAAAAAATATCACACGTCAATTTGTCAAAAAGTAAATGCAACAATGGACTATAAAGAAGAAACCATGGGGACGGTGTTTAATGCGAGTACAACTGTTCATCCGACAGTAATATCAAAGGTAAATGGTGAAAAAAGCAAGGATAGTGTTGAATACGGGTGCTGGAAGTTCTTATATATGTACAAACTTGATAACAAAACTGTAGCTGAAACCTACACGAAGAGAACATAAAACCATCGAACAACTATATGGAACGGTAAACAAACGTGTGGAAGTATATTATGTTACGCTAGAATCATTAACAATACCGGAATTTCAATCAAGATTGAATGCATCAACGCAGAAAAGAAAATACTGACCTTCTTACCCAATCCGATAATTAAGGAGGTAAAAAAGCAATTTTCTAGACTTAGGAGACTGAAATTTAGTAATGATGGAGAAGACTATGAAATACAACCTGTTCACACAATACTTGGTGCTGCTGATTATCAACGAATAAAAACTACCGAGCCGATGGTTCTCAGAAAAAATCCAGATAAAGATCCCGGAGCTGAATTGACTATGTTTTTGATGGACTCTCTCTGGGAAACAAATGGAATTAAGTTCTGGTATTGAAAAGGGTTTTTTATTAAACACTGGTCGTGATGAGTTCGAGCAAATGTGTAGCCTTGAAGTTCTTGGATTGTCAGACACAAACAATGATTTAATGTTCCACCAAGACTTTAGCGAAAAGCTACACCAAACAAACGAAGGTTATTATGAAACTAGAATGCCTTGGAAAAACAACAGGGATGTGGCAATTAAAAGATTAAAAAGTACAATAAATTGATTGGAAAAACTTATCAAACTAGAGCAGTATAATGAAACAATGATAAAACAGATCAGTAAGGGAATACTGGAAAAAGTACCGAAAAAACCTACGGGAGAAATTATTCATTACATTTCTCAGAGTCAACAAAAATGCAAATTGTTTATGATTGTTCAGCAAAAAAAGATGCTCAATCACCTTCATTGAATGATTGTCTAGAAGTGGGACCCTCGCTGCAACCTCTTATATTTGACATTCTAATACGAAATCGGATGAACAAACTCTGCGTTTTAGCTGCCATTAAGAAAGCATTTCTACAAATGCGAGTTCAAGATACGGATAGAGACGCACAACGATTAATTTGGTATGAAGACTTAAAGAAAATGAAATTAATGGAGTTATAATTTACAAGAGTAATTTTTGGTTCCAGTTCAAGTCCTTACATTCACAGCGCTACAGTTAAAAAACATATATCAAAATACAAGGATACTTATCCAAAGACAGTAGTTGCCTTGGAAGAAGATACTTATGTCAATGATCTGCAAGCGGGTGGAGAAACGGAAGAAGAACTTATTAGGTTTAAATATGAATCAACACAAACCTTGAACGAAGCTGGTTTTCAATCGCACAAATGGCATAGCAACGTGAGAAAATTGGAAAATAATGTTGAAAACAAATCAACAAAAATACTTGGACATCCTTGGAACAAGGAAACAGATCAATCGTCAATTGAATTCACTACTTGCATCAATAACGGAAATAAAAAAAATTTAACAAAAAGAAAATTCTATCTGCAATCAACAGTGTTTTTGACGTATTAGGATTGTTGTGTCCAGAAGAATTATTGAAATAGAGCTCCACGGATTCTCAGATGCAAGTAAATTAGCGGTATGTGCATGCATCTATGTTGTAACGAGCCACAAAAATTCGAAAACGAGCAACTTACTTGTAGCAAAAGCACGGATTGCACCAAAGGATCTAAGTATTTTAAGACTCCAGCTAGTAGCTGCACATACCTTAAGCAAGTTGATGAACCATGTCAGGTAAACATTAGTCAATTATAACATTAGTAAAGTTTTTAATTGTGTTGACAGCACTGCTGTACTTTACTGGCTGAAGGAAAGAGGCAGTTGGTCACAGTTTGTAAGAAACCGAGCTCAGCAAATCTTATTAAATGGAGAAGTAAAATGGCTTTATGTCCCAACAAAAGAAAACCTTAGCGATTTTGGAACCAGAGGAGTGAGTCCGGAAAAGTTGTCAAGCTTGTGGTTATATGGTTCAATATTGTCGAGTCATAAAGAAAATTGGCCAAACCAATTGGAAATATTTGATAACTCATATGGCACATTATGTGAAAGTATTGCTCTAAAGAGAACGTCTTGATGGTAACAGAAGAAATAAAGGAAAATCACACTTTTGAAGAATTGTGGAATAAATTTAACTATTGGAAGATTAAGGATATCGTCGTTTATAAAAAGGTACATTTACAATTGTCGCAATTAAAAAAAAATAGTCGGACCAATAAAAACGGAAGAGATGATAGAAGGCGAAACGGTCAATATTAAACATCTACAAGGATCTGTTGTGCTAAAAATCGATGTGGAACTTAAACAGGATGAAAAGAATCTTTGGAGGTATCATGGAAGAGTTACCGGGTATAGCCTCATATTTATACCAAAAGAATTCTTACTAACTCTACGAATTATTGAGCACCATCACACCAAAACCTTACACGGAGGAGTCGGAGATACCATGGGTAGCATAAGAGAAAGATTCTGGATACCGAATATGAGAGTAGCCATTAAAAAAGTTATTCGTGGTTGCAATTTACGTAAAAGGTACAGAGTGAAGCCTCTCTTACCACCAAAAAAAGAAATATTACCGCGCTTCAGAACTGACAATGTTGAACCATTTGCGGCTAGTGGTGTTGATTTTGCCGGACCGTTAAAGTAAAAAGTACCAAAAAATTCGATTAAAAAATGCTACGTTGCACTGTTTACATGCGCAAGCACTAGAGCCGTCTATCTTAAACTTTGTCATAACCTATCAGCAGTAGAATTTCAGAGGGTTTTAAAAGAACTTGTTGCGAGAAAAGGACCACCTCAGATGACAATCAGTGACAATGCGAAAACATTTGTGGCAACAGGGAAGTGGTTACTTAGACTTAAAAACGACGAGAATATTGCCAATTATCTTGCTACACAAGCTATAAAATGGAGGTTTAATCTATCAAGAGTCCCTTGGTGGGAAGGTTTGTTTGAAAGATTGATTGGAATAATGAAGAAAAGCTTATCTAAAACTATCGGTAAAAGGATGCTTAGTTTCAATGAATTAGATTAATTATTGGATGTTGAGTGCTTAATGAACAATAGACCACTTTGTTACCAAGGTGACCAGTTCGACAATTAAGTGCTGACACCAAACGTATTAATGAGGGGAAAACCTGCAATATTGCTTGAAGAAGACATTGCTTTAATTGCAAAAGGGGAATGTGCAATACGGAGAGTCAAGTTTATGAAAAACTGTAAAACCCATCTGAGAAAAAGATCGATGAACGAATATGTACATGCAATGGAAGAACGACAGCAAGTAAGAAATAAGAGAAGTAACGTAAAACTGATCCCTTATAAAAACAAAAGGTACCGGTGTCTTCGGATTCATATCGGTTTATAGAAATATTAAAGCGGGTTATATAAAAATACCTCAACCGGAACACCTGTTTAATCTAAAGGTATTTTAAAATAAGTAAAATAATATAGACATATTGCATACAAACATAACGAAATGATAATCCGTTTTGTAAAAGGTTTTTATCCAAGTGTATATAGAACATGTTTTATTAGGGAACGATTATTTTCAACGTCTACTAATCTCTTTAGTGCAGGTGTAGACGATAAATTGTTTGGATTAAATACTGATCAGGAGAGCTTTAGGCAAACTGTACACGATTTTTGTAAAAAAAATCTTGCTCCTTTTGCTGATCAAATTGATAAAAATAATGGCTGGAGTGATCTTCGGTAAGCATCATAAAAATATGAATTAAAAATACTATCTATCTACTTTTAAAATTCTTTTTTTTTTTTTTTTTTTTTTTTTTCGATATTAATTTTGACCTCATTAAATTCTATTCAAAGTAGCAATGCTACCCTGACTACTTTAAGTAGCTCTGCTAATCGAACAAATTTTATTCAATATATTTAATACTAGAATTAGCATTTGAGAACTGTCAAATTTAGTTAAGTATTATTTTTTATTTTTTTAAATTGGCTAAAGATATTCTTGAACACCAAATAATTTAAAGTTTTTAATTTTTTTAATAATTTTTATAATTTAATATTTTTTGAAATAATAAGTTTAAAAAAGTGATTGATAAATAAGAAAAATTGAGAAATGTGACCAAAATTAATTTTTTTAAATAAAAACACTTTTAATACAAGTTTCACGAAGGACTGTCATAACCATAAGAAAAGAAACATCAGCTTTTGAGGTAATAAAGGAATATCCAAAAAAGATACAGGCTATTTTCAGCACTTGAGTTTATATGAGGAAATAATGATATAACCACTAAATCTTGATATTTTAAAAAGTATTTTATTATTTTGATTTGTTTTTCTTTGGAGCCACTCCTGAGCTGCTCCGAGCTAGAGTTAAAAATTTGAAATATATATATATATATATATATATATATATATATATATATATATATATATATATTTATATATATATATATATATATATTTATATATATATATATATATATATATATATATATATATATATATATATATATATATATATATATATATATATATATATATATATAGAGAGAGAGAGAGAGAGAGAGAGAGAGAGAGTTAGAGTTAAAAAATGTCTTCTATTTACTTAACGGAAAATTTTAATGGAAGTTAATTCACTCAACTTAAATGGCATTAATGTTGGATGAATTAATTTTAAAAAATTTTTTTTCAACTGTTTAAACATTCAAGTATCTATTCAAGACATCGGTCTTGTCTTTTAAGAGTAATGTAAAAAATATCTCTTGGTTTATTTTGATCATTGTTAAACTTAAGAGTAGACTTGATAGTTTTTATCTCGAGAAATCATCTACGTCATTAGTGTCAATGTTGAATAATTCATATTTTGGAATAATATTTAATAAACTAGCATGAATGGCTTGCACATTACAAAGTATTTATTTTTTCACTTTGTGGTTTTAACTTTTTTGATATTTACAAGCTACTCTTTAGCACTTTATATTCAAGTATATAAATAACAAACTGACTCAGTGTTCTTGTCTTGAAATGTTTTAAATTGAATGGTGTTAAATAATAACTGCTTTTAAAGCAATAGTATTATTGGAAACTATCAACCATGAAAGTGTATAGAAACATGCATTAGTTAATGATAATGGTGATAATGATGAACTTAGTTTAAAATAGGATGATCTAAGATGAATTTAGTTTGAAATTTAGCATGTTTATTTTAATGTCAATTAAATCTCATAATGCTTTTTTTTTCTCATTTTTCCTGTATGCATGATCTACACCATTTTTTCCTCTTTACTGAAGCCTCTAATAAAACAAATTTGATTAGCAAGAATGATTAAAAATGTTTCATGAAATGTAAAAAAATCAAATTTAAATAATAAATGTAATATTGTTGTCATATGTGATATTGCATCGTTTGTATATGCTTATATCTAATGTACGATATTAGAGCTTTGGTAATAATATAATTTTGAAAAAAAAAAATTTTCAGGGAATTTTGGAAAAAACTTGGTGATATGGGGCTTCTTGGTATAACTGTTTCTCAAGAATATGGAGGTCTTGGATTAGGTTACTTTGAACATGTTATAGCAATGGAAGAAATTAGTCGTGCCAGTGGTGCTATTGGTCTCAGTTATGGGGCTCACTCAAATCTATGTGTAAACCAAATTGCTCGAAATGGAACTAAAAACCAAAAAGAGAAATATCTTCCAAAATTAATTAGCGGAGAAGTTTTTGGCTCTCTGGCAATGAGCGAAGTAGGTTCAGGTAAGTTTCATTGAGAATAACTTTATTGCCACAGAAAAAGTTTTAGTGATTTTTTCTGAACCTTATTTTCCAACACTAGTCATTTTTTATTGTGATATTTTAGAAATGTACAATATGGTCCAAAATAGCTTTTTAAGATTTTTTTAAAGAAAAAGTTTACTTTTAATGTGTTTAAAAAATTTTTCACTGAAATTTAAACTCATATGTCCACTTTTTGAATATTTATTCTTTCTTTTATTATATTGTTTACATTGAAAATAAATATATAATAAATATTGAATCTAAGTTTATTTTATTCTTTTCTCAACAATTTCTTATTTAGACATATCATTTTAATGGTTACATAGCTTTAAATATGTTTTATTATTATTAATATTATATATATATATATATATATATATATATATATATATATATATATATATATATATATATATATATATATATATATATATATATATATATATATATATATATATATATATATATATATACGTTTTGTTCATACTTTGAAGCTCTGTATTTTAAAAACGAAATTTAAGAAAACCTTCTAGTTTTTTTTTATTATATACAACTGTAGGCTTACTTTATTAAAACCTTGACATTGAATTTTTTAATGTCATATGTTATCCATAATGGCTGCCTAAAAAATCTAAAAAATTGTTTGCAGATCTAAAAAGGTGATTTTTGATGGGTCAATATACAAAATTAGCAACTTAAGAGATGAAAGACATCTTTTTTACTTTCTATATATGGTAGTCTTCCTAATTTTTAAAAATTTGCTGATAAGATATGATTCAGTAAGAAATAATGGACTCGTAAAAATGGCTCTGGGAAAATTTTAAAAATTGTGTCTACCCTTTAAACCACCGGTAACCTAGGATCAACATTTTCATAACCTTAGTTGCCTCTCCCTCCCCTGTCCATTTACTTTTTAACATGCATATTTTTGCACAGAACATTTTTATCATAGAAAGAACTTTTTTCTTAATTTATTAATTAGTTATTGAACATTTATTATTTGATTTATTAATTAGTTATTGAACATTTATTATTTGATTTATTAATTAGTTGTTGAACATTTATTATTTGATTTATTAATTAGTTATTGAACATTTGAACTTAAGCAGTGTGTCATATAAAAGTTGTCAGGGTGTTACTCAGGAAAAAATTTTGTACAGCGTTTTTGCGAAATGAGGAATATAGGTGCGGCTAAAAAAAAAAAAAAAAAAGGTTAGTACATTCTGCAATTGAATTTTAATCAAAATAAATTTTCTATTTTTGCTGGGAGTTACATTTACAGCAGGACTATTTTTCTACTATATATGTTTAATTTTAATTAATCAACTTGTTTCATTATGAGCAATCTTCTAAAGTTTTCATTTAAATCGCTTCTTTTCTTTGTTTTTGATATACTGCAGCCGTTTTTCAAAACGCCTTAATTACGTATTCCGAGAAAAGCGCACTTTAAAAAAATCTGAACTCGAGAATAAGTGATTTCAATAAAAATTAAAAAAAAAAGTTTTTTAACTTTTGAATGAATGATCTTGTTAAGGTTAATGACGCTTGTTAATGGCGACACGTTTTTACACATTTAAAAAAATCAATCAATTTAATTCATTTTTTCGTCACGCATACTAGCCTAGCGCGACATTTTAAATCTGAGACTAACTTATTTTTTATTTTATTTTTTACTATGATTTTATAAACCTTTGGGAATTTTAAACCAATTGGGAATACCACGTTATATGCAATGCCATCAAGCTGGGTAACACCCTGCTAGTTTGTAAAGTTAGTATAAAAGTTTACATTAGGTAAATAATGAAAATAAAGACTTTTTGTTTTATTCGTACTATCTGCCCAACACATATTTGTTTTCATATCACTTATTTTCTTACTATTTCATATTTTAACTATAAATTTTGTATATTTTTTCCCAAAGCATTTGCTATTCCGCCCTTCCCAATTTATTTGATTATCATCGTTTAAATTTAGGTTACAGATTATACCAAGTGGTAAGAGTTATTTGATTTGTCATCACAATATACAAGTTTGTCATGTAATATATATTATGTAATAAAAATGTTATTATTTAATAAAATATCAACATAAAAATTGAATCATTCAAATTTGTTTTAATAGAAAATTTGGATTGATCAAATTAATAACAATTTTGTTATGTTAAAAAATTTTGTTATTATATATACTATTGTACAAATGTACTATTTCAGTTTTTTCATGAGCGGATAGTTCATATCATCTACCAGTTGCTGATTGCACTTTTAAAGATGGAATTTTGCATAGAACATGTGTAATTGGAACTCAGCAAATACCTTCTCTATGTGGCCAAGTAAAAGTGTTTGAGGAAATAGACTGCTTCATGAACTTTATAAGGATATCTTGGTTTTCTTCATATATTTCCACAATATAACCTAAAAACCATTTTTCGTCATAAACATGTGCTAGATAAATTACTGGTGAAAGAGAGACAAGTGGAATTGTATAGTTTTGCTGTATTGTTGAAACATTTACATTAGTAAACACATTTTCGAATGACACATGTCTCATCTGTAAAGTTGTTAATGATTTTGGTATAAAATAATGGTGGTTTCTTGTTCCTGGAATTGTTAAACAAGTAACATAACATTCTTCTAATTTAAAATTTATGTAATGTAATATAACTGTATCATTTGAAATGTATTGAAAATGTATTCCTTTAATATTTTGTCTACACCAATTATACATTTTTTAGATGAATTGATAGGATCAGTTAGTGATTGTAAACTTGCCCTTGCTACAAGTCTTTTGACAGTGCCCCTAACACTATCACAAGCACTCTTACCATGTGATGTAGCAAATAAATGCCATTCTGCAGATACCTCATGATCTTGTTCATGGTGACATAAGTTAAAAATATTTTTACAATTTTTGTATTGTGAACTTGCACCATCACTGAAATAAATGCAATGGTTGAAGTAGGGTATCAACTCTTAAATGTTTTAATACCTCATAAATGAAACAATGAACTGAGTTTGTATTGTGTTGCAAATGATCTGAGATGATACAAATACTTTTACATTTTATCTTATTTTCTTCCATAAAGTAAATAGCAAAAGGATGCAATGTTGCTTGGCTGTTGTTCCAATGGAAACCTTGTACTGCATCTTGAATTAAAAAACTGTAATTTTCAGCAAAGTATAGTAATATTAAAATATGATTACTTTGTAATGTGATTTTTAGATGCTGCAAATATGCTGGTAATGTGATGGAATACCTGGAAATAGCATGAATCCCAGGGAAAACCTGGAAAAATCAGGGATTTTTAAAAAAATTTCAAAAAATTCAGGGAAAACTCAGGGAAATAATTTTATTTTTGAAATTTTGTGCAAAATTTCAAAAAAATATATATATTTTGCTAATGCATGTAATAAGAAAAAATTTGCAAGATATGGGTGTTGTTGTAAAAGTTTTGTTTTGTCAAATATGAAGATTGTAAGTATGAAAAATATTAATCTCGTTGATGAACCGGAAAGAATATAGAAAAGTTAGAGAGAAGTCAGGGAACTTAAAGTTTGGCATTCTGGTGGTACTTACAAATGCATACTGAGTGGATACCAGAAGCACCTAAAACAGGAATACACCACTTTGGTCTAAGTTTGCAGAACTCAGAAAATTCAATTTTGACATCTAAGGAGTTTTAACAAACTCTAAATAAAGTTCTTTTATATTAAGTAATAGTAGTCTTTTTTGAAAATGTTGTCGACTTGGATTGAGACATCAACTTGGATTGAGACATACTGCTTTTTCCCTGAACACAATCAAGAGTATTCATCTGATTGGTAGAATTCATAAACTTGATTTTTTACTTTCTCACTAATAGATCTTTCTTATTTTTTAAACAGTTCTGCCATTATGCCATGCATTTGTTTCAAATGTCTTGCAGTTTTTATCATTCTTTGAGAAGCAGAAAAATAGTTTTGTGTATAGTCAATTTTCCAACTCTCAGGAACCAAAGTTAGTAATTTAAGTTTTTCTGATTTTGAAGAAATATTAATTATTAATTTTTATAATTAAGACTTAGACTCACTAATGGAATTAATTAAATAAATATCTTTGATTTAATTAATTCCATTATTGAGTCCAAGTCTTGTTTATTGTCACAACATAGCTCTTTTGTTTTTGGTTCATCATTTATTAAATCAGGAGAAACTTCTAAAACAGTTGCTATTTTCTTTTTGGTGGCAGTATGGATCTTGTTCATCTTTCTTTTTGCATAGCTGACCCTGTGTTTATGGGCTATTAGTTTTAGAGGTGAACAACCAAGGCTATTAATGCTTAAATTAAAGTTTTCTTTTGAAATATAAATCTCATTAAAATGATTGTCTTTATTTTTACATGAATTGCTTTTATAATCTTTTTTGTTATTTTTTAAATACAATATTTTACGACATTCTATACACAGCTTATGACCAGGTATTAAATCAAATTCATTTGCAACAGCAACACTGATTATTCGGACAGATTCTAAAAAGAAACAAAATGATAAAACATTAAATTTTTTTTTTTTGAAATTATCTTCGCTTCCAACAAGGCTGCAAGCAACCACTTATTAGTGTTGGAAGTTACTGGAAGTGAAAAGATGAAGATTGCAGAGCAAGATAACGATTGACAGATGACTTAAAAGATTGCAAATTATATGAATCAGGAAAGCAAGATGAAGGAAGCGAATTCCAAAGAACTGATGTTCGAGGAAAAAAACTAGACAAATAAGAGTTTTTGGAGCACTTAGGTACAGTAACAGAAATAAGCCTTTATCTTTGAAATAATTGATTAAGTCAATTTTTTTTTAAATACTTTTAATTTTAATTTTTTGTTTGTTAAATGGATCACAACAAAAGCTTTCATCATACAAAGAATCAAAAATTGTTTCATGGTGATCTATTCATTGTTTCATGGTGATCTATTCATTGTTTCATGGTGATCTATTCATTGTTTCATGG